TATTATTATTATTATTTGATTAGGAATACAGTGTAAACTCTTTTTAACAATTCTTAAGGGACTGGGGATTTTTTTCGTTATAAAGTTTTTGTTAGGGAGGGAAGAAGGAAAAATAATCAAATTTCACCAATTACAATAATTTCCAATTTTATTATGTACTTTTAATAGGTAATTAAATTATTCCAAACACATATATTCTGTTAACTTTGCCTGACGTTTTTTGCTATGCCAATATTTGTTTTGTATTTTCTTAAGTATTTTATGCATGTCTTGGGATGTGGTGGAATCATCTTTATGAAACAATAAGAATTTTTCGATGAGCTTGGCGGCATCAAATGCTTGTTGAACAGTTGGTGATGGTATAGATTCATCCACTTGATCATCTTCATTATCTTCATTTGGTTCCTCTTTACTTTTTGACACTGAATCAATAATGTCTTCGTCAGTGAGTGAAGCGGTTTGTGGCCAGGTCCTGATCTATATTTTCTTATGTTTGTAATTCTTCGCAGAAATGATTTGGTTGTATGCTGAACTGTTTAATCCAATCACTCAGTGGTAGATTGTCCTCGCTACCAAACTGCTCTGTTTCTACTGTCTGACTGTTACATAGTCCCGCGTGACGAAAAGAATGCTGTATAGTTGCTGCTGTTACCTCTTTCCAGGCTTTTGATATGAAATTTACTGCTTGTAGTATATTAATCGAGGTCTTGCTGTCAGTTTCGATCAGTTCCATCAACAATTTTCTTCTATAGTGACCCTTTAGACCAGGGGTCAGCAAGTAATTTTAGGTGGGGTCCGGATACTTTTAAAAAATTTTTAACGAGGTCCAGAAAAAAAATTTATATTTACTAATTTTTTATTTTAATTTGGATTCAAATTTAATTTGCTTACTAGCCATTAAAAACTCAAATCAGTCACACAATTGTAAAGTACTAGAAAAAATGATAAGTGTGGCACTCAAACACAAAAAAATATTTTTTTAATTATCCGAGTAATTTATACTTTAAAAAAGTTTTTGGCGGTCCAGTATTTTACCTTCCGCTGTCCGCCAGGTGTCGGCTGCTGCTTTAGATTTTTAATCACACTGATCCACCGGCTACAAGATACTGGTTGGATTTGCTGGGAGAAATGCTAACTCTATTTTTCGAAGATTGGTTGGGTGAGCAGGGCAATTGTCTACTAGAAGTAAGATTTTCCGTCCCTTTGATTCAGCATCCCATTTTCTAACTTCTTCAAAGAACTGCGATGTCATCCAAGCTGACTTGTTTGCTTTATATGTGACTGGCAATTGTTTTATGTTCTTGAAACACCGAGGGTTTTTTGATTTGCCTATAACCAAGAGCTTTCTCTTTTCCGTGCCACTCATATTGACAGCTACTAGAATGGTAAAACGCTCTTTAGAGTTTTCCTCCCACACATGTTTCTCCTTTTGAATTTAAAAGTTTTGTCAGGCGTCGATCTTGAAAAAAAGTCTCGTTTCATCAATATTGAAAATGTCATTTGGTGAGTATTTATCCATTAATTTAGGCCACACGTTATTAATTCACTTGTTAGTTACATTCATATCGACATATCGCGTCTCTCCGTTCATTTTACCATAGGTAATGTTATGACGGTGCTTAAATTTTTCAAGCCAACTGATGCTTTAAAGTCAGTAATGCCTAGCTGTTCGGCAAACTTCTCAGCCTTGGCTTTAACAATTGGCTCCGAGATGGGTAGATTATTCTAGCGCTGACTGTTAAACCACGAAAACATTGCTTGATCTAAGTCTTCGAATTTTGGCTTCCTTAATTTTTTAGTAGACACTCCCTGCAGTTTCGCCTGTAGAATTGCTTTTTTTGATTTTCCAAATGGTAGCAATAGTAGATGGACTGAGGCCTAAACGTCTTCCAACATCACTTTTCTTTTCTCCTTTTTCTATCGCACGTATCAAACAAACTTTTTCGTTAACACATAACGCTTTTCTTTTACTGGCCATCTTGACAGTTTCAAAGTAGGTTTACGACTGATAATACACAATAGGTGCCTAGTGTGTTTAGTAACTGAGTTCAAAATTTCCTATAAACAATGTAATCCAAGAGTAATGCACACGTGTTCGAGGCAAAAGCAAGGCNGCCACACGTTATTAATTCACTTGTTAGTTAGATTCATATCGACATATCGCGTCTCTCCGTTCATTTTACCATAGGTAATGTTATGACGGTGCTTAAATTTTTCAAGCCAACTGATGCTTTAAAGTCAGTAATGCCTAGCTGTTCGGCAAACTTCTCAGCCTTGGCTTTAACAATTGGCTCCGAGATGGGTAGATTATTCTAGCGCTGACTGTTAAACCACGAAAACATTGCTTGATCTAAGTCTTCGAATTTTGGCTTCCTTAATTTTTTAGTAGACACTCCCTGCAGTTTCGCCTGTAGAATTGCTTTTTTTGATTTTCCAAATGGTAGCAATAGTAGATGGACTGAGGCCTAAACGTCTTCCAACATCACTTTTCTTTTCTCCTTTTTCTATCGCACGTATCAAACAAACTTTTTCGTTAACACATAACGCTTTTCTTTTACTGGCCATCCTGACAGTTTCAAAGTTGGTTTGCGACTGATAATACACAATAGATGCCTAGTGCGTTTAGTAACTAAGTGCAAAATTTCCTAGAAACAATGTAGTCCAAGAGTAATGGCACACGTGTTCGAGACAAAGCAAGGCAGTTGTTTACGACCTCAGGGGGTCTTTCTTAGAAATTTCGCCACCTCAAAGATTTAGTTGGAACCTTTTGTAAGCTGATTATAAAAACAATTACACTATTAAATACTTGCTGGCGTCTAAATATGAACATATTTCTTCGTAATAGAGAATGGCTGGTGTGCTATAAAGAGTGTATTAATTTATGGGTTTTGACATAAACCACCCAAATTGACCTAGTTTCTATGTTATAGGAAGTTTTTCGTTATAACGAAAGACATTATAAAGAGTTTGCACTGTAATTTCCAAACAAATTGGAATGCATAAAACTTGGGGTAATGGGGGTTTTTTAGGATGCTAAATTTAAATATGTCATTGGCTTTAACGCTGCTTGTAGAGGGCTCCACCTAAAAGGGTATGGTATGCTTGAATTAAATTGGCCCTAACTTTTTTGCTACCCTGTATATTGACGTTTCGTATTAGTGCATTTATTCCCCTTTCAATTTTAAGCAAAAAAAGTATACTTACTTAGTCAAAATCTTTCAGGCCCACCATATTTTAAAATTTTATTTACCATTTAAACCCGTCCGACCCGGATAATCGAGGTTCTACTGTAATTAAATATATCTTAAAAGTTTCTTTTATTGTATTCTAACCTCTTATAATTTTTGTATTATTTTATTATACTCGTTCTCTTTAACATTTTTGTTTGTAATATTAAATAAACTAATAATAATTAAATAAGTGAATTAATACTGCCTGGTAGTAGTTTTCCAAATTATTAAATTGAGGTACTGATTTCCGTAATTTAAAATTAGATATTGACAATCACTAATAGTGACATAACTAAGCGATGATGCATGAGTTAAGAGACTATATTATAGGTGATAATGCTTATTCCATCTGCAGGTTTTTCAAGAGATAGAGGTAACTTTCGGGATTCAGACCGAGTAAACAGGTACGACGATAGGGATGATCGTAAAGGGTTTGGTAACAGAAGATTTGACAGTGACAGAGACAGAAATGATAGGGGTGGCGACAGATTCCAAGAAACTGCTAGGTGTAAGTAGAATGATTTGTATTCTTTGTATTTGTACTTTTTTTTTAATATGTTGTATTTTAATTATATGTGATTATTCCTATGCTGTAGTCGGGTGACATAAAATAAATTAAATTAAAATAACTCTGTGATAAGTTATTAATCAATTCACTCAATAAACATTTATTGTTCCAACCTTTAGCAGAACCAAGGGAGAGGCCAAAGTTGGTATTAGCGCCTAGAACGAAACCCGTAGAAAACGTACCTGTTAAAGCAGAGTCAGTGCCTTCAGCTTCAATATTTGGAAGTGCCAAACCTGTGGACACAAGTCAGCGTGAGCGGGAGATAGAAGAAAGATTAGCGAAGGAACATTCAAATAAGTCGAGAGATGCGAGTAAAGAGAGAAGTTCACATGTAGAAGATAGCGAGAAAAAGATTGTAAGTATTAAAAAAAGTAAACTCATTGAGGTGCACTTCTGATATTCAAAATGTATTTTAAAATATACAGGATGATTAACAATTAATTTGCCAAATTTAAATTTGTATTCAGATTGCCGAAATAAGAAATTGTGGGGAATTTTCTAGATGCAGGGTGTATAGAATTCATGTTTTCTAAAATATCTGTTTTATTGGGTAAATACGGACCAATTTTGAGGTACATTACCGTTACCAATCTCTTCAGTAATAGGCTATTGATTATATCCAAAAAAACGGGGTTATAAGGAACTATGACGTTCAAGCAATTTTATTGGATGAATCGTTCAAAGGATCGTTTTAGATGAAAAAACCGCAGAGCTATTAAATTAGAGGGTGGAAATTGGAGATAGTAGTGAAAATGCACCCCTTTCAGTTTTTTAATTGTAGCTTGAAAATGAAGCCAATTTTCACTAGTTAATGGTAAAAATTATTTAGAGAATTGAATTTCTCATCGAAATGGCTTATTTAAAAAATGTAAAAGGAAACTTTTATACAAAAAATCGTTAATAAACAATTTTAAAGAAACCAAAAAATAAGATTTTTTGATTTTTTTTGCTTTTTTAATAAAATATTTAGGCAAAAAAGTAAAAAAAAAATCAGAAAATCAAATTTTTTGCTTTTTTTCAAATTGTTTAATAATAATTTTTTGCATAAAATTTTCCTTTAAAATTTTTTAAATAAGCTATTTTGATGGGAAATTCAATTCTCTAAATAATTTTTCCCATGAACTACAGCGAAATTTTGCTTCGTTTTCGAGCTACAATTAAAAAACTGAAAGGGGTGCATTTTCACATGTAAGTAATAAAATATCTTGGAATGTCATAGTTCCTTTTAAAATCCTATTTTTATTTTATTTTATTTCATTCAATAGCCTATAAATATAAAATAAGTGTAGATTATTTGTTTAGCAAAAAAAGTAAAAGTAATAACTTTTTTTTAATTTAAACACTAGAAAATAAAGCATAAGCTTTTATCTTGATTGTCTGAATTGAAATTTTTAATCCCGACACCCTAGCAGTTTCATTTTGTGTAATAATAGTTATACAAAAAATTGTTAATATACATCTTCAAATTTGTGGATTTATAACGGAGGGTTTTGTATTTTCTTGAATGGAACTTTTGTTTTAGATAGAAAGAAGTAGACCTCCAAGAAAAATAGAGGACAGCCCGAAAAGAGATAGTAAGTGATTCTTTTTTTTTAAGAATTTAATCACATTTTTAAAAACCTACATTTTTTATTTTTATCTTCCTTTAATGTAATGAATTTTTAAGAAAAGCGATGATTTATAATGATACAAAACTTTTACTGAAAATATCACCTGTAAACCGTCGAATGAGACTAGATGAAAAATTTTAATAGATTTTAAAACAGTAGTGATATTAAGTGCTTTGTCTATACTTCATTGCCAAAGGGGTAGGGCCTTATTTTCAACATGTACTTCCATGCCATAGGTAAGGAGCACGGGAATGAGATACCATGGGCATATCATTTTAGGGGGATCCAAAAAGATTCAAATACAGGAAAACAAATAGATATATTGATTTTGATAACTAGATTATCTACAAATTTACGCTTGCCTTTGTATATTCAAATATTTGACAGATGGGTACTTGTTTATTTTGTAGGCAAAAATGTCCTACTACAGGGTTCGCAGTGGCCTGGAAAACCGGGAATACCGGGAAAAGTCGGTCAGTCAAAAATTATTCTTCATAAAAAACGGAATAGTCAGGGAATTTTAAAAGTAGTCATGAAAGTCAGGGAATTTGAGGTTTGCAACTGGAAATTTTGTGAAAGCCAGTGGTTTAAAGAGAAAAAACTATTTGTGGTTTTGAAACCTTTATAAAAGGTTCTTTGGGTATAAAAAAGGTTAGGGAGTGTAGAAAAAGTTTATTGCATGAACACCAAATTAGTATGTAAAAATTAACTACAAGATTTTTTTTTTGTAAGGGAAAACCTGGAAATATCAGGGAATTTTATATCACTTCTGAACTATGAACCCTGTACTACCGCCTGCATGTATGATTTATATTTTCTTTTGTTATGGGGCGTAACTAACACTTTCTCTAACTGGACAAGTAACCCCTGTAGAAAGTCTATTTAGTTAGCCTGAAGTGACACAAAATTAGAAAGTCACTAAAAGTACAAATGTCACTGAAAAATGAGATGTTCCACTGTTAAGACACTGGAAATGACCATTATAAGCAATAATTAATTACTGTTGTTATTAACGCTCTCATTACTGTCACCTAAATGGAAAAGTGATTCTATTGTTACTTTAGCTTTTGTATGTACCACATTTGTTTTTTTTTGTACATGCGTAATATACTTATTCCATATCTCGTTAGTTACCCCCGATTAATCACTGAAATACTTTTACATCTAATTTAAAAGTTGTGTTATTTGTGCCACATAAGATTCTGAAGGGTGTCCCAAAATTCACGCAAGAAGTAATTTTGATAGAAAGCAGAGGTTTTTAATTAAAAATGTAATTTTTTTATTGTTTCATGAAGTATACAATATAGAGTTATGTATGGTATAGCATATCGGGTAAAAGTCTCCGCGGCTTTGCTGGCACATAGGCACTCTTTTGTTGAAATTTTCAATGACCATTTTGCATAAATGCGTCTGAATTTTGTTAATACATAGCTCAATTTCCTCCAAGGATGGTCTTGAGGTTGTTGGCATAAACCTTAGACTTCAAATCGCCTGATCTGAGCGGCCAATTCTGATCATCGAAATGGGAAATTACACGACCAAGAAATGACTTGTGCAATAATTGAATTATTTCTCGGGCTGTATGGCATGTGGCATGGTCTTGGTGAAACCACATGTCTACATCCATATCACTATTAACAGTTATTGCCTGACCAGTCACATTTTCGAAGCAGAATTATTGATGATGCCTCCAAACCAAAATCCGCACCAAATTCTGACACGTTGTGGATGCATTTGTTTCTTAGCAATCACTCATGGATTTTTTGAATCCCAAATGTAACAATTTTATCAATTAACAAAGCCATCAAGATGAAAATGAACCTTATCACTGAAGATGATTTTGTTTGAAAAATCAGCATCCATTTGTCCCATATTCCATTCAACGAACTCTGTTCGCTCTGCGTGGGTAGTAGGCTTCAGTTCCTGAGTCAATTGAACTTTGTAAGCACGAAGATGCAAATCTTTTGTGAAAATATGCTGTAAAGAGCTTCTTGAAATGTCCACGATGTGAAATTAACATTCCTCAACAGCAACACACACGAACGGTTTCGATATTTTGAGTTGAATACTTTGAAGCACGGCCAGAGTGTTAAGATCTCTAATAGATCCAGTCTCCTGGAATTCCGATCATATTTTGTATGAAAATTGTGAATCTTCATTATTTTTAAAATATTGCTCAACAATGAAAATACATTCACATTTAGCTGTCACCGTGTCATCTTTTTTTCGTCAGCCACACTTTACCACATAAATGACACACAATTCAAATTCTGCGTGAATTTTGGGACACCCGATGTACCCACCCAGATTAGTTCAATGGAGGGTTCACCTCGCAATGAAGATTTTATTTTTTCTGTTTGTGCAATTGCTAACCTTGGGAGACCATATCTCCTTCATGTATCTATGTTTCTTTGAAATATTGGAAGTTCATTTTGAAAATAAAATTCTCTTCCTACAGATTACACATTTGTCAGTTTAAATTTTTTTCCTGCCACGTTTTACTTTTTGATTTTCGCTTTCATCACTTTTTGACGCATCATAACCGACTGGTACTTTTGTTAAACAACTGCGGGAAATATCTGCTTGTGGTCAAATTCCCTAATACACATTGTTTATGATAAGTTATTGATCTATTAAATTTTGTCGTTTACAACTACCTTGATATCATATTGGCCACAACACCCACATATGTGCCCAATTTTACTTATACAACTCTTACTTGAATACTAAATCTGAAATAAAACGAGTCTTTTCCACTTGTATGCTTATGACAAGTCAAATCATGGAGCCTCAGTCGTCTCTTTTTGCACACAGTAAACAAAGGTAGAAATAGGTGCTTCTAACAAAAATGAGCATTCGAACTGGGCGTGCGTTAGCTGAACACATCCGAAATGAACGATACATTACAATTTTGATTTCTATTTCAACTTCAGCAGAATTGTAAAAATTTAAGAAATATTATTGTGTATTTGTTGGTTGTGGTTTGGTGAAAATGTATTATATTCATTACAGATGATGAGAAGAAGACACCCAGAACTGAGTTCAAGTCACCGGATAAGAATGATAATAGAAATAAAATCGATAAGCCAAAGAGGGAGGAGAAAAAGTGAGTAATATTTAGGAGAATTATTTGTTTTACATTAGTTACTATTTGACTTCATTTTTGGGGTGATATTCAATTGTAGTATTCATTAGAATAAAAAGATTTGTCAATATTCGTCTGAAATATTTTGTGTATTCAAATTTTTAGCTTTTTGAAATGCCAACTTGGTCAATTCCCATAATACGATAATTATAATTTATTTTGCAGGGAAAAACATGAGAAAGAAATGTCTAAATTTTCTGAGCCAGAGCCACCGAACTTTGCGGCCAGCAACAAATTTGCATTTCTAGAAACCGAAGACATTTCGGACTAGCAACATGTGATTGGTAATTTAGTACATTATAAATATCGTATACTGATTATTTTTAAAATAAGTGGAAGGAAATAAGAAGTTTTTACATATTTATTATTTTAATTATAGAATATATTTTTGTTAGACATAAAAATGTTTGTATGTGTATAATTTTTGTTAAATTTTAATACTGTAATTAGTTGTATAAAAAAAATCGGTTAATAAATTCATATTTATTTCATCAATTTTGTAAAAAAAAACTGTCCTCAAGTACTTAGGTCTTAATGCTATATAGAGAAAGAATGAACTTTTCTTGCAGAAATGTATTTATTAATAATTTATAAATAAAAAGTAAAAATTACTGAGTTATCTGTCCATTAATTTGATGATTTTTGTTGGTTTCTATTTCGATATCTTCGTAGAATCTTGGATCGCTGATTCTCAGAGCAGCCCTTTTATAACAATAATAATAAACGGTTGCTACTAAAAAAGAAAATGTTTAATTTTAAGGATTTGCCCAAAAGTCGGAGGCTTGTGTGGAGCAACATATTATTGAGTAGAGCAGGGTATTTAAGGATTTCAAAATTACTCTTTAATTCGATACATTGGAAATCTATTATTTATACTTACAAAACCTCTGCAAAATAAACACAGTTAAAAAAGGCAGACTCCACGAATGCTTCAAATTACTCCAGCGTGTAATTAAAGACCAGATATGAACTATTGTTGTTAATCCAAAATATACGATACACATCAACAAAGTAGCACGGAATCGTTCATACAATAAATAGACTAATCCAGTCTAGAACAAATAGTGAATAAGTTTAGAATCTAAGACTTTTATATTTTCTTACCTGGAAGACATAGGTGGAAAAAAACGTTAACAATAAAGCTGATAAGGCTAAAATTAAACATGCATCTTGTACTCTGCAAATTTGAAAATATAAATAAAATGTTATAATATATGGAATAAATACTTACATAAATAGTATAAGCATTAGGGCATTGTTTTCTCTAGTCAGTAATGAACATATATTTATAATCCAATCAATCACAAGTAAAGTACATTGTACTGAAAGGATGGCCGTATAACGGCCCGTGGTTAATTTCATTATGAGAATTAATAGTTTCACTTAATACATTTTTATTTTGCAAACTGAAGGATGTATTATATACTCGCAAGTATTGATTTCTAACAAGAAATGTCAACAAATTTAAATTTGACGTCAGGAACATTTGACATTTCCAATTCTGAGTAAATAAACATAAATGTTACTAAATCAAAATGGAGGTTTATTCGAATTTTGCTACGAACATAAATCCTTAAATAACTATAAAAATTAGTCTTTGTATAATACCATTGTATAAGTAAATATAGTATTATATTTCATATGGAAGAATAGTTGATCAAATTTTAGTTCTCGAATTCGTTACAAGGAGGAGCCATATGTATGTAAACTTGATATTTAATCGTTCACGTTCAATTTTACACTTTCGATACTGCGCCATCTTATGTTCAATAGTTAAATGATCCACTACACAGATATTTGGAAATACAGTTTTCTTGGGATGAAATGACAGGGTAACGGAATAAATTCATATCACGTGACATGGAAATTAGTAAAATACCAGCTACCGGCAGATACGACAAAAAAACTTCAGTTAATGCGGTTTGAGGTTTGAGTTTTTATCTGGGGTTTGAGAAATTATTTAAATAAGATAATATTAGTTAAATCAATATGTGTGTAATTTAAGCAAGATATTTATTTGTTGTGAAATGTTATAAACATTTTTTTTTACCAAATGTTTGATTTTAGTTGTTTTTCTATTAATATATTGCGTTTATTAGCTTCGTTAAAAAATTTTTAACGTTATTTGCTTATAAATTTGTTATAAACAAATGGACAAGTTTAATATTTTTGAAACATTTTTTTGCCATTTTATTGTCTTGGCAAAATAATGATTTTTAAAAACAAAAATTTTTCTTAAACAAATTTTTTAATTGTTTATAATCGTTTTTTTTATTTATTTGTCATTTAAATTATCTATTAAGAAATAATTTTTTTTTAAATCATTTGCTATTCTCAATATAACTACACGCGCCATTATTCTATGGCTAGAAATTGGCCTCAATGATTTGGGATCGAGGGGGATTATCCCTCTTTATCCTGCCTCATCTCGTGTAGGCCT